CCGCTCAGGGTGCTGTGGGTGCCCGGGCTCGCCCCTTCTCGTCCGATCGCGGAGTGCCCTTCCCGTTTGGCCTTCTCCCCAGATAGCACCGTGCCTTCTCGGGCCGCCCTTGGAAATCCGCTCAGCCCTTTGACACCGTTTCGGCCACTCGCTTTCGCCACTCTGCATGCAAGGACAAGTTCCAGGCTCTTCTCATACCCCCAGTTTGGCCTTCTCTTTCCTCTTTCCAAGGAGTTTTTGCTTTCTGCACGTGTGATGTCCGGATTGAGTGGTAGCCAACGGGCATCAAATCTGTGCGCGACCTGGTCTCGAAATTCATGAGGGATAGCGCACTGAAGCTTGGGCTCTGGCTGCAGTGGACTTAATTTTAATTATCTGTCACCACGGCCAGATTCACAACTTCATTTCCAACGGTGGTATTCCAGCCCGACGCATTTCAGACGGCAGAAGCTGGTTACAAGAGAACCCTCCATTTCTCATCGTTGGCGATAGGTAGTGGGTGAGGCCTAACTTCGAACGATGGTCGTGTTAACTGATGTTCAGCTGGCTGAGAGCAACATCGATGGCCTTGGAATAAAGTTGAAAGGCCCTATTTCTCAACATTTCTTTACCACAGATTGGAACGTTTTAGGGTTTTTGGTTTTCAACTCCTTGCCCTTCTCCGGGACCCTGCAGTGTTTTCTCTTGGGATTCCTGTCCTGCATGGTCACCAAGCCATGCAGAGAACGGGCAAGATAAACTTACCTCAAGCGTTGCCTTTGCCTGGCTCCTTCTCAAATGCCTCATGGCAGAGCCGGGGGGGCTTAACCTGTGGTCTGCAAACCCACCTGGCAGAGGCAAACGTGCGCCTCGTGTTTTCCAGGACTAGACTCCGTAGCTTCCATCACCTTTTTCAGAGCTTTAGAGCCACTGCTGAGCAACGTGCTGCACCCCCCCTCCCCCCGCCCCATGGAAATGGCACAGGCAGTACAGGCCAAGAGCACTGGACTGCAGTTTGAGGGCCTTGAAGATTTTGTTCCCCAACAACTGTGGAGAGTCAGGGCTCTGGAATTCCAAATGGCCAATGAAGAGAGTTGAATTAAATTATCAACTTGAGCATATTCAGGTGGGTTCGTTTCTTGTTGCTACTGTACTAGATTACCACAAGGTTAGTGGCTGAAACAACCTCACAGTATTTTCTTCCAATTCTGTACGTTAGCAGTCTGCATCAAGGGGGACGGCAGGGCTGGGTCCCTCTGGAGGTCTTGGGGAGAAGCTGTGGCTTGCCTCTTCCAGTCCCAGGTGGTTGTCAGCTTTGTGGCCACATTGTTTCTGCCATCTTACTGCTTCTCTTCTGTAGTCGAATCTCCCTCCCTTTTATAAAATTCGCTTGCCTCTTGGGTTCCCCGAATCAGCTCATTTTCCTTCACCACCACCCCTTCCTCTGCCCCCTCCCCCCTAACAGTCTGATTTAATGAGTACTTTGAATACTTGATCAACAACACATGGGAGCCCTGGTGGCTCAACAGTTACGGTCGCTGGTTCAAGCTCACCCCTCGGCTCCTGGAAAAAAGGCCTGACCTGCTTCCCAGAAAGATGAGAGCTGATAGAGGCAAATCTGCTCTTTAGTAACAATGAACACAGAGCCTACTCCGGCCAAACAGCAGTTGGCTTCTTTCTCACGACTCACAGACCCAGCTTTGAAGTGCCCAGCATCGGAAAGACCTATGTAAATTTACATATTCAATTTGGTAAAGTGATTGCCAGCTTTTAAAACCATATTGACTTACTGTAAAAGGTCAAGGCCCAGTGCAAACAGCATCTGCCCAGAAAACCGTGTCTGTGTGTGTGCACGCTTGTTCCTCATCTTTCTCTTCTTTGTGGTAAAGAAAGACACATGTACCCAAACACATGTATCTTGCCACTTCAGCATCCCTCACGTGTTGTTCGGGACGTGTCTGTTTGGTCATCGCCCTCAACTCTTTTTCCAGCAGCTCACGGCCCCTAAGCGTCTTCCGTTTCCTGTCCCTCAAGCTCCTGGGAACCACAGGAGATGCTGGCATCTCTAGACGCGTCTGTCGTGGCTATTTTGTACGAGGGAGGTGTCATACAAAATACTGTGACTGACTGGTTCCCATCAGCACGCTGCGTGCACGCATCATCCAGCTGTAGCGTGTGTCAGGTGTTGGTTTCTCTTTGTGGCTGCACAATTGTCCACTGTTTGTGTGCACGCATCTTACCCATTCCTCTGAGGCAGACATCTGGCTATGGTGAATAGCATACTGCTACCATAAACCGTGCTTTTCATGTTTGTTTGTTTTCAGTCATTTTATTGGGAGTTCCTATTGCTCTTAGAACAATCCATACATCCACTGTGCCAAGCACATTTGTACATGTTGCCATCATCCTTTTCAAAACATTTTTTTTTCCTACTTGAGCCCTTGGTATCAGCTCCTCATTCCCCCCTCCCTCGTGAACTCTTGATAAATGATAAATTATTATTTTCATGTCTTACACCATCTGCTGTCTCCCTTCGTCGATGTTTCTGTTATTTGTCTTCCCGAAAGGGGGGGGGGGTTTGTTAGACGTCGATCCTGGTCCTTTGGGAAGACACTACAGTGCTGTATGGTAGTGGCCGTGGGACCTCACATTTTCCCTTAGCAGTCACATTTTACAGCACCACCAGCCAAGGGTGAGCTCCCTTGGGTGGGTTCATTAACTTTTATGATGATTTCTACTACATCACTGACCCACCTTTGGGGGTCAAACGACCCTTTCACAGAGGTCGTCCAATTCATAACAGTAGCAAAATTACAGTTTTGAAGTAGCAATGAAAATCATGTTATGGTTGGGGGGTCACCACCACATGAGGAACTGTATGAAAGGGTCACAGCATTAGGAAGGTTGAGAACCGCTGGCTTAGAAGGAAGCAAAGGGTATGGTCATGAATTTAAATTTCAAGCGAAGCACCAATGATCAATTGCTCAATAGATCAGTTGTCTAGCCCTTTTGAAGTTTATATTATGCTAGCAGAATGTTTCTGAAAATTTGCTTAAAACTGGCTCTTTATCAGCAGTGAGGCCTCCTATTATTTCACAACTTCAAGGCCTTTTTGTCTTTTGGTTAAAAATGCACAGGAAAACTGTCGTCATCACAGTGGCTTAGTTATTTGGCAGTAAGGGCAAATAACTGTTGCAGCGCTGTGGTCCCAGGGAGGCGTCCTGCTGGTGGTGTAGGCTGCTCACTGCAAGGTCAGCAGTTTGAACCTGCCAATTGCTCCTCTGCAGCGAGATGAGGCTTTCTGCTCCCCGCAGGGCCAGTTCTGACTCCGTCCTGTGAGGTTGCTGAGCCAGAACTGGCTCAATGGCAGCAAGTCTGGTTATGCGTTGGTCACAGTAAGCATGAAGCAAGTCCTTCCTCCGCGCACAGGCCGCATCTCCTTTTTCTTCAGCAGAGCAGTTGCTAGAACTGAGATCACTAACGCCAGCCTTGCCATCGTCGGAAAGCTCTGTCATTTGTGGTTTGAGGACAGCCCATTCTACACAGTCAAAAAGGGGAAAAAATGGAGTTGGGGTGTCACAAATGGGTATTCCCTCCTTGGTGCAAATTGGGGTTAACACATTGGCGCCTAGCCCTACGGCTGGAGTTCCCGTGTACTTACTCCATGGGCGCTCAGAAGAAAGGCTGGTGCTCAGCTTGTGAAACCCAGCCACTGAAACCGTGTGAGCACGCCCTCCGGCCCACGAGACGCCACGAGCAGGGGTCGACCTGAGACAGCAGGATTCAAGTACCCCAGTCATGTTTCCATGGCGCTTATCCATCTCCACGAAAGGGGCAAGGAATTCAGTGAATTCCAGGTTTGAGGGAAGCGGCCCCCAGACCTTGGTACACAGCAGGCCATTGTGAAAGGACGTGTGCCAGGGCGGTGTGCTCCTCTGTGGGTTCTGGACCAAGAATCATGTTGGCTGAGACATCACATTTGCTCGCTCAGCAAACACCTTGAGCCTAACTAGGTTCTGTTGCTCTTGGCCACGCCCCTGCAAGTGTCATCCTGGGGTAAAGGTCGCGCTGAGCAGGGGCGGGCCTGCCAGAGCTGCAGAACGCAGGGAAGGCAGTGCCGGAGGGAAAGCTAGTGCCCACGTGGGCTTGCCACAGAACCAGCCAGGTGCCCTCTGCTGCCAGCACGGGTGGGGGTGGTAGTGAGAGCCTTGCTCCATGTACAGGGGTGGGGGGCGTTTCAAAAAGTGAGTTGACAAACAGCATGAATAGAGAGCAGACTTTTCCACGTATCTTTTAAGGCTCCCCTCCCGCGCCCCGCAATCTTCACTTGAGTGGAGACGCGGAGAGCCGGGATTCATGGTGAGGGGCTGCGTTGTCCTTGTTCTCTCTCCAGCTGAGGAACCTGCTGCAGTGGTATGTGCAGGAGTTCAAGGACCCGTTCCTGCAGCACCCGCCGCTGTGGCTGAAGCCCATGCTGCTCTGCGAGCTCCTGCTTCAGCTGCCTTTCTTCCCCGTCGCCACCTACGCCTTCTTCAAAGGTCGGCCAGTGGGAGGAGGGAGGGCGCAGTCCGCTCATAGGCTCGGCTCAGGGGAACAGCTCCGAGAGGGGTGTACTGTAGTTAATGTGAGGTACAGGCCTGGCCCCTTCCAGATTTCAGGAAGGGGCGAGGGGGCGGGGCGCGTTCATGTGGCGGGAGCTAATGCCGTTCTTTCTTTGGGGGAGAAAAGGAGGTAGCAATGTGGCCCGAGGTGAGGGTGATGGGCTGGGTGTGAGGACCGAGGAAGCACGTCTGCAGCTGAAAGGAATTGGGGTCGGGGTGGCCAAGGAGAGGGGCCTGGGTCCACCCCACCCCGAGTTCCTCTCTCGTCTCACTGGGGGTCGCTCCCCCTGTGCATGGGGCGGGACCAGGAAAAGCCAGACACGTGACACCCACGGTCACGGAGCCCATCCCGAAGCCTCGCAGCCAGTCGCTACAAGCTCATGCCTGGGTCTGACCTCACCGACACGCCGGGGTCTCCGTGGCACCAGTGCTTTTCTCAGCAAGATGGCCGTGCCCGCTCGCTGGGGACGTGGGTTGGAGTCCTAGCTTGCCATGTGTCTGCGTTTCCATTTAAAGGCCCACCCACCGCCATCGAATCCACGGGCTCTAGCAGCCAAGGGTAGGGGCTCCGAGACGGCTCGGGAGCCCGCAGCCCCATCTCTCTTCCGAGTAGAGGCGGCGCTCGGGGTGCGCTGGGGGCCTGAACTCACTTCTCTACCCCGCCCCCCCCTGCAGGCGGCTGCAAGTGGATCCGCACCCCGGCCATCATCTACTCGGCCCACGTGATGACCACTCTCGTTCCAATTCTCTCCGTGCTGCTGCTCGAGGATTTCTCCAAAGCCGGCCGTTTCAAAGGACGAGGACCCCAGACTATGCCCGAGCGGCTAACCCTGGTCTCCTTCTATGCGCCCTACTTCCTCGTCCCCCTCGTGCTTCTCCTGTTCATGTTGCGGAGCCCCCACTACAAGCCTGAGGAGAAAAGGAAGAAAAAGTGAGGGATGCAAGCGCTGCCGCGGGGGGCGTCCTGACAGACCCCGTGCTCTCGGAGCCCCGCGGCTTCAGCAGCTTTCACCACACCCGCAGCAAAGCACAGGGCCCGCCGACCTCGCTCCCCAGCCACGGGGGCCGGCTGCGTGGCTGCCCAGGCTTGCCCGAGGGAGGCTCCAGGGATGTGGTGCCAAATGCCGCAGGACGTGCCCACGCTCCATGCCAGGATGCATGGGTGGGTAAATGCCCAAGAAACATGCCTCCTTAGCATGTCCACAAATTGTCTGACCCCCATTCCATGCGACTGAACCCCGAACTCGAGTCTCCTAGCCAATCACTAAACAACAAAAATGAACCGGGAAGGTCTCCATCATCCTCATCCCCAAACTTGTTAGGCCTTACTTCCCCTCCCTCCTCCACTTCCTTTGTAACGAGCGCGAAACCTGCAAAGCGTGACTTTCTCGGATATGGGCTCGTCGAGGTTTGGTTTCGGTCTTCCACAGGCCGCCCCAGAAGATTTTAAATCTCCTTTCCTATTGTATTTTTAGAGCCCACGCAGCCTCCTGTTCTCTGAAGTCTGATCTAACAAGTCGGTTCACACCTAACCCCGGTGTGCTTCCTGGTCCCTTCCTAGTACAATTGGATCATTCCTTCCATCTGTTCTCAGAAGGGGTCGGCGGGCAACTGTCCCATGTGTACAGGCAGGGTGGTGACAGTGCCTGGTGTTCCATGTCGCTGCCACTGAGTCCATTAGTCCCTGCAGGGGAGGGAAGGGCTGCCGGTGGGTTTCCAAGGCTGTCAATCATCACAGGAGCAGAAAGCCTCATCTTTCTTCCACAGAGCGGCTGATGGTTTCAAACTGCTGACCTTGCAGTGAGCAAGCCCAAGGTGTAAACCATTGTGCCACCAGGGCTCCTGGTAGGCCAAAGCTCTCTAAACATGCATTCGGAGCCAACCCTTAAAAAGCAAGACCAGTTCATCACATGGAACGGGGGAGACAAGAATCTCAGCCACTTCCCGGTCTTTCTCTCAGGCCAGCCCTGGTCTGACTGGTGGTACTAGCGTCTGACTTGTGTTTGCTCCAAATAAAGTAGCTGCTGACCCCTGCCTGGCTTGTTTTTACTGTACCTCAGGGCATCAAGAAACAAGGCACATCAAGCCATTTGAAAAGTCATTTATTGCTTTCCCCCCCAAAGTTTTGTGGACTTAAAAAAAACAAAAGCTAAAACTTTACAGATTGCTTAGTTCAGACTTAGCACGAGGAGGTGGGGACTTGTGCCGGACGGCTGGTGGCCACGCCTCCATCCACAGCAGAGAGGCTTTGGCCCTCTTGAGAACAAGTTTCCCCAACTTTGTATTCCTGCCTCCAAGGAAGGGTTCCTTAAACGCAGCTCACATGACGTGACTCAGCCAGTCACCGGAATGGTACGGAGGCTTGTTTGGTCTGTTTTACTGTAGTTTGCCTTCCTGCTATAAAAATGAGTCAAATTGCAGTTCATTTCTGAAATATAAATTGGTCAATAAATTCGTTTTGTTCTGCTTCTACTTTACACAAAGCTTCATATTCAACCCGATACCTGAAAAACAAAATTAGTAAGAAGCCCTAAAAAATGGATGAAATAAACCTTGGCCTAATCCTCCTAGAGAAGAATACAGGGGAACTAGGTGCTTCCAGGAAAGGAGTGGGGTGAGTCCAGAATGGAGAATTGTGTGAGGGTGAGAAAGAAAATGCGCAGGGATCCAAAGCAGAGGCCAAGCCCTCCCTGGACCCCCTGGGAGGGAGGGGTCCCCACCCTGAGGCTCCTCAGAACCCGCCAATGTCACAGACCCTGCAGCTGAACGTTCAGCCTCCGGTCCATCCGGCCATGACCTCAAACATCTCCCGTCAAATGTAAATTTTACTTTAAAAATCTTCAGATTAGCACAAGACAAGGCATTTCCTGGGAGAACCAGGACGGAGAGTAAGGCAGAAAGGGGATCATTCCAGAAGTCAAAATCGACCTTGAACGAACTGCTTGCTTTACACCAGGTCTTACCTTTCTAGCTGCATTTTCTTCTCTGCTATTAGTGCTTGAAGCTGCTGCTGCTGGGCTTCTCTCTGCTTTGCTATAGATTTCAGCAAGTTCCGTGCACCAATGGCCTAGGAGAAAAACCAGGATTGCCAAAGGGTTACGGTGCCCTGTAAGCTGCCCACCTGAAGCAGAGTCCTCCACATGCAGGCGGCTGTTTGGGGGGTGGCTAAGGCAGCGCCCCAGAGCTTGTCAGGAAATGACTGCACCAAAGCTCCGGCAACAGGGGCTCCGATTGCCCCGGAAGCTGACCTCTGCTCACTCACCTGCACCCTACACCCCTTAAATTCCATTTACAAAGTGAGGGTAAAGATACTTCCCCCGCAGGGTTGATGTAGAGATTAGTGGCCAGAGGAAAGGATGGCATCACAAGAATTCAAGAGTTAATGGGGCCAGGAAATTGCCCATCTCCCAACAAAACCCAGAGGGCAGGGGACCTAGGGTCCCAGGCCAAGAGGGAGATAGCAGACCTGTTGCTCTTACCTTCATCTTCTCATTTTCTGCTTCTTTTGCAAGTTGGTCCACCAGCCCAATTAAACCACCAACTATTTTCTGAAACTGGCCGATTTCTTTCAGAGAAAGGACAAAAAAAAAGTCTAATTTTCTCAGAATCACCCTTTTCCTCTCCTACGGCCGCCCACCGCAGTCTGAAGGTAGAGAAGGGTGGGTCTGAGGCCTGGAGCGCTCGTCACGGCCAACTCAGGACGATGGTGAGCCAAGCCTCCAGGAGTCCGACTCCATGGTTCACTACAAGGCGGGGCCCGGAGCACAAAAGGCCATGTTAATGGCAAAGGCTGGCTCAGGCCCTGGGAGCTCAGTTAATGGTGGGCTGGGGACTTTTCACCTGAACCAGAGCCAATCAGGCGCCCCAAGCATTTCAGTACCTAGTCTCTTTCTCAATGCCCTTGGTGTGGCAAGACCCCATTTTGCCGAGGGGTAAATGAAGGCCCAGAGGGAGAGGGAACCGTGTGCACAGCAAGCACTGGAGACCACGATGGGACCCGAGCTGCCTTACACTCACTAGTCCCCCCTCCCCACACGCTAGGGAATCCCCAAGGTGTGGGGGTCCCCCACCTAGCTAGAACTGCTCTCTGCTGGCACTAGGCTTGCATGGTTGCTGGGATAAGCAGCTTTGTGGCGATCTCTGGCCAAAAGAGGGCTTCGATGAGTGATGAGCTGTTTCTAGAGGATTCGATGATTACTTTTAACCATCGGAGAGCCTAACACTACAAACGCTGTTCCCAACAAGTCCTGTTTCCCATCGTCCCCCAAGGCATTGTTCAACATCCATTAATAGATGAGAGCTTTTGAGATCAAAGGCTGACAGATGGCATATCTGAACGACATTCCCCGCCCCCCATCCCTGATGTCTGTGTGGTGCCCTATGCAGGTGGGTAATAACATGGGACTCGAGGGCAGGGCCAGGAGCCACAATGGGGGTGGGGTGAGATGCAGCTGGAGGTACTCACTGTCCACAAAGTCCTTGCACTCCTCCTTGAGCTCTATGGTCTGCTGCGTGACCTCTGGGTCCAACACCCGCAGCTTGTTCAGCTCGTCAAAGTGCAGCCCTGCTTCCCCCAGGATGTCCTTGGCCATAGCTGCAAAGAAACCCGATCCCTGTTCACCTCCCTTCCCTTCCCAGCCACCCAAGAAAACACCCGCTTCCAGCCCAGCTCTGACTATCCCAACGCCAAGGCCCGAACTCCCAGATGTCCACAGGCTCAAGTTCCTTCTACTTCCACCTCTCGGAGCTTCCCCTGTGGCCCCCTAGCTCATCTAGAGAAGAGTCTGCTGGGACAGGGTGACTGGGGCAACGGGAGAGGTGTGTCACGGGAGCAAAGCTCAGGAAAGAATAAAGTCCAGTTGTTCGTCAGGCATCGTTCATTCCACACACAATACGTGTGTCTACTATGCCAGGGCCACCCAGCTCAATGTTACATGTCCCCCCTCCCCCCCACCCACTTAAGTGCTACCACTACTGGGCAGCTAGCTAGGAGGTGCGGGAGTGACATGTGAACTGCTCCAGAGCACATTCATTCATCCCCAAGTCATATACCCCCTCAAGACTTGCAAAGGCCTTTGAATACCTGCACTGGGACAACACAAAAAGGAAGCAAGACCTGGGTGCGGTAAAAACTACGGGTTCAAGCATGAACTATAAATCCACACCATAGCGTAGGGCTGGCTAGACAGTGCCTGGACTGGAACCCAAACTTGAGACAGCCCGTCTCCGGCGGGGAAACACCAAAAGCGTCAGCAAGACTACCCAAGGCGGACAGGAAAAAGCACTGCAAGCGGAAAAGGCCCCACGGACGAAGGTCTACTGTCCCTGAATCCGCCAGCCTCTCCAGAAGGTAAAGGCGAAGAGGCGGGTGTGGTCGGGCCGGGGGCCGGGCCGTCACCGCACCCCTCGGGCAGGTGAACCGGGGCGAGAGGATCTCGTTGAGCACACCACTGACAACCAGTCCGTTTGGGGAACGAAGGGCTAGAGGCCAAGGGGCAGCTACGACGGGCACCTAGGCCTGGATGGAAGAAGTGTGCAGACGTGAGCTTGGGGAGCGCGCCCACAGGGCTTGGTAATGGGGAGCATGAGTGCGAAGGTGGAGGAAGACTGGAGCGGGCAGAATGCGGTGGGTAAGTCCGACACACACGTGTCTGGGCATCTGAGGAGGGCAGGGCAAATGAGCTGAGGCTGAGTACCCCGAGAATGCTGGCTGTGACCCGCTCCGCCCCCGTCTTCCCCGAGCCAAGCCGTCCACGGGTGTGGAGGAAGCCCGCCGCGCTGGGCAGAAAGGCAGGCAGACTGGCCGGCTCCATCGAAAGGCGCGCTTTCCAAGCTTGTCTGAACCGCTCTCCAAAGGTTGTAAGCGCTCCAGGCCTAAACTGGATGTAACAAGTCCCAGAGTTGGGGCGACTCCCAGGTTCCTTTTGCCCAGGGAGCGCCTCGGGGCGCGGGCCTGTCTGCTTCACCCCGCCCCGCGGCCGCGCGATTCTGCTCCCGGGCTCGGCAGCACCGAGCCCAGCCCGCGTTCCCCGACCCTGTGGTCCAGGCCTACCTGCAAGACACGTCACAGGGATGCGCTGCGGGCCAGGCTGCTGCCTGTGCCAGCTAAGCCCTCGGGCCGGTGCCTCCCTGCCAGTCTGGCTGCCCCGGCCGCTGCCACGGATACACGGCCTGTTTACCCGTGACGTCACTGCCTGACACCGGAAACGCACCCTTCCACCCACAGAGCCTGCTGGGAAACAGAGGCCCGAGTACGGATGACTGCCTACAAGACCCCGAGGCCCTTGCGCCGGCAGAGCGTCCGGAAGTGGGTGTGGTCTCGTTGCGGACTCCTCCGCGGGGCTGGGCCCTGTCCCCGGCGCTGGGATGCTGGGCATGCCGGGCCTTGTAGTCTCGGGCTCTCCGGATGTGAGCTCACGCCCTGGGACTGCGGGCGGCCGCGTCCAGTCCCGGCGCTGCGCGGAGTCGGCTCGAAGCCCAGCTGAGAGACCGGAGAGGCGCCCCCAGGGACGGTGAGAGGCGGGGCTGGCGCAAAAAGGGTCTCCCTCGGTATCGGGTCGGCAGAGGGGAGATGGAGCGCTCAGATCCTCCCCCGGGGGTGGGTGTCCGAAGCGGTCTCGGTTTCTCGGCAGTGAGGAGGGTAGACACCGGCTCCGAGAGGCTGGGGCTCGCTGACGTTCCCCGGGACGCTTTGAAGAAAGGCTTGGAAGCACATCTCGGATATCTGCTAGAACCGCCCTTCCCAGCTAAAGCTGGCCTTCCCTACCTCCCTCCGAGAGATTTCTCCCTTCATCCCTCGCCTCCACCCCCCCACCCCACCCCCATCCCCTGCCCTCAGGGCCTGTCACTGAGCCTCCCAGCCTGGCTACTGTCCCCAGGGACCAGGCGCCAACATCTCCATGCTCTTTCGCGATGGCCGTCGGCCGGGCCTCCGCGCAGGCTCCCCTAGGTAAGGTGCGTCCCTGGGCCCAGACGTCCCCAAATAGCCACACAAAGTCCGGAAGGAAGAGCGCCGAGGCTCCCGGGGGAAACTTCTCTCCCTGCAATTACCTCTGGGCGTCACCCGCCGGGGATTCCTGAAGCCCATTGGTTTGGGCGGAATGTGAGCTGACGTCAGCTTGGGGCGCAGAGCAATTGCTTTTGTTGGAAAAGGGAAATGGGTTCGCCAGGACAAAGACTTCGGTCTTCCTCTGTTGGCTGGCCCGGCCTGTGCGCTCCTTTGCTCCGACAGAATGTGTACACCTGGACGGCACTTCACGAAGTTCGTGGGAAAGTTCCGTTCCCTTTTGGTTCCATTTCCCCACGAACTTGAAGCCCTTTGGCATGTGTACTTTCTTTGATCCTGGGCGAGTCCCAAAATGCCTGTCCTGCCTCGCAGCAGCTCTGTAGGACGGACTAGAACTGCTACCCAGAGTTTCTGTCGGGAGCAGACAACCCCATCTTCCAGCCAAAATAAAACCTGTTGAGTGGTGGCCTACCCCTTTGGAGTGGGCTAGAGGTAAGGTAGACTCCCTGGTGACATAGTGGTTAGGTGTTGGGCTGCTAATCACAAGGTCAGCAGTTTGAAAACACCAGCCTGCCCTGAGGGAGAAAGATGAGGCTTTCTATTCCCACAGTTACAGTCTCCAGCTTCTGGAACCGTCTACCCTCTTCTACATGCAGGGTAGGGTAGCAAGGTATCAGAAGCACCAGGTGGCAGGGAAGTTTTGGGAGGGAGGGGGTGTAATCTACCTTTAAGTGCTACTGATTGGATAATGTGTAGGTGTGCGCATTATTGATTGGACAGTGTGTAGACAGCGTGCAGCTTCTCCACGCCCCATTCCATGGGCAAATGGAAGAATCTCCCAGACCAGCCAGCCTACAAAGGAATTTAATACTTCATCACAATAGCCGCTCTGGCCCTTCCTTTAAAACCAAACACTTGGAACTCACTGCAATCAAGTCGATACCCACTCTCAGCGGCCCTGTAGGACAGAGTGGTCCTCCCTCTGGTTTCTGAGGCTGTAACTCCTACCCGGAGGAGAAATCCTCACCCTACCCCCACGGGGCAGCCTACCCTACACCTGGTCTTAGGAGTTTGCTCCCATAAAGGTTACAACCTAACCCACTCGACCTCCAGAGCTCTCGCCCTTCCTTTAGGATCCGATAAAATCCCTTCTGGGATAGTTCAGTCTAAGAAAGCAAAATGTGTTAAATACTTAAAATGTGGCCTGTGCTAAGCACAGCGGAGAGCGTGGAACAGTAAAGGGAGACAGGGCGTTGCATCTGGTGTGCGCTGACAAGAGATGAGGAGCAATTATCTGCCCACATGTGTGAGGCTGAAAGCTGGCGAGTCTACATTTTACTGTCGCCATCGTTTCTAGTTTCAGAGTTTTATTAGGACATAAATCACATACATTAATCATGTCATTACCACAATCGATTTTAGAGCATTTTCTTCCTGGTACTTGTTATTAGCTTCCTAGTTCCCCCCAACCTCCCCTGCCAGACACCCCAAGAAACCATCAATCTGGTTACTGGCGCTGTCCAGTCGCTCACCCTGGGTTTCCTGTACCAAAGAGCAAAGAACAGAAGAGCTGATGCATTTGAAACAGGAAAATCTCTCTAAAAGAAAGCCGAAACCATCGTAAAGAACAACCTTAAGATAGGTCAAAAGGGAGAGATAAAATGATGCTAAATTTTAACCTAACCACATCTGCTGTGATCCATTTCCCAGTGCACCGGAGTGATGGCAAGGCTACTCATGCCCCTGGTCTGGGTTCAGAGGGGATTCACCGGAGGTGCAATCCGTGTGTATTTTCCCTTCCTTTTTTTTTTTTTTTTTAACCTATATAACTTGCAAATGGGTGAAAGGGGAGTCAAACAAGTGTTACATTTTAACCTAACTCTGTAATCTTCTTATAATACTGATAACAAGGCTACTCACCTCCCTCTACTATGGGCAGAAGAGGATTCACTGTGGAGGCTTAATTCTATGTGGGGACCCTGCAAATGGATTTTGGGCTTCCACTGTCATCCATAGCCTTCTGCAAACTGGGTGCTCACAATTTAAACTGATACCAATTCCTTCCTTTAGGTTTGGATTATATTCTTCACAATCCTTGAATCGCATAAGCTAGTGTGCTTCTTCCATGGGGTCCATCATCATTCCTCAACTACTGCTTCCTGTAGTCTACCACTTCTCTTGCTTTTTGCGGGGGTGAGGGTGGAGGGGGGGCCGTGGTGAATTGGGTGAAGGTTCAGAAAGTAGATTTCTGTTTTGCATTCGGCAGTTCAATTCATAGACATCTTGCTCCATCTGATCCGTTGCAGTCCTCTCAGTGCACAACATCCCCTCCCTGGGTCTCTCGCCCCTGCTCCTCTTCTGTAACCATGCTAAGCGCGAGCATCCCACTGGTGTTCTTCGCTTATAGACCTGTCTGCTGGGGGACAGGAAGTGAGCCGCAGGGGTGAGTGCAGTTCCAGGCTTGGAGGGTGACTCGGGGTTCCACTAGTCTATCTGACCACTAACCCTGGTCTCTTAGACAATGTTGCTCCCATAAAGGTTACAACCTCAACCTCTGGGACGATTCTACTCTGTCCTGTAGGATCTCTATGAATTAGAATTGCTGGCTAGTTTGGCTTTAGGGTTTTGTATACATTAAATGTTTAGAATAATACTTGGAATACAGTAAACATGCACTGAACGTTACCTACTTTGTTCTTCAGTGAATGGGTTTTACTGATTGTTTAGAAAGACGTGTGTGTCCTAAACCCTTCCTAGAACTAGATCCCATTTGTGGTGGCTGTTCTTGAGAATGGAGTCTGGGAGAGAGGAGGGAGTGTATCCTGTCCATGCCCCGGCTTCCAGGAAACTCTGGGTCGGACAATAACTGGGAGTTTAACTGGTAGATTCCACAGGACGAGGACGTCTGCTCCCATTTCAAGGACTTGCATGTCTCTCGCACCTATTTCTGGGCTGAGTGGAGGCTGGTGCAACCCAGGCCTGGTGAGGTGGCCAGCCAGACTCGGAGAGAAGTCCTTCTTAACTGTCTCCTAAGAAGTGACCTTTACCAGCGAACACTTGGACTGACCCAGGAGGGGACCACGGACTGGTCTGGTCTCTGCTGCCCTCGTCTGGTTGGAGGGTGCTACTCCTCTTGACTCCTGACTGCTTTCCCACAGCGCTGAGAGGATGAGGCTCTGGCCTCCACCTGGCCCTCACCCGTGACCCCTTCCACCACGGCGGAGCCTGCCAAGCCAACCTGCTGCCGTGTGGTGATCTACCTGCAGCGGGAGATGTCAGGGGACACCTGTCTGTGCCCAACCTCAGCGGCCAAGCCCAAGCTGAGCAGCTTCAAGGGTGGCAGCCTGGGCCACAAGTACGTCCAGCTCAATGTGGGCGGCTCCCTGTACTACACTACTGTGCGGGTGCTGACCCGGCACGACACCATGCTCAAGGCCATGTTCAGCGGGCGCATGGAGGTGCTGACGGACAAAGAAGGTGAGGCATCGGCCCTGCTGAGCAGCTGGTGGGGAGGGGCTCCGGAAGCAGTGATGGGGTAGCAGGGCCTGAGAGCCGCAATTCCTCCAGACTCAGACTCCGTGGAAACAGATGGTGACTATTGCCCGTCCCTGCCTTTTTCCTGGAAGGCATCCTTGTGTCGTGTTCTCTTGGGAGTCCCGAGAACAGTCCCTGCAATGTCCGAGGCGGGCAGGCCTGAGTGCTCCCGAGCTTGGACCTCAGCAGGGCCTGGAGGGCTGGGTCTCCCGCGGTAGAGACAGCTCGTGGCTCCAGTGGGGTTGGGGAGGCAGTACTGACCCTGCGGGCTGGAAGTGTCCCCACTTCTGTCACCACTACCAGGGTGCTGCCACTGGGTCTGCCCAGTGGCCCTTTGCCTCCTGCCTGTGTGCAGGGCACCTGGAGCCAACAGCCCTTCTCTGCACGCGACCCCTTAGGCTGGATCCTCATAGACCGCTGTGGGAAACACTTCGGCACCATCTTGAGTTACCTCCGAGATGACGCTGTCACCCTCCCTCAAAGCCGGCAGGAGATCCAGGAGCTGATGGCGGAAGCCAAGTATTACCTCATTCAGGGGCTGGTGACCATGTGCCAGAGCGCCCTGCAGGTACGGGGCGGGCTGGGCTGGGTTGATGAGGTCAGAGCTGCTCCCCTCCTTCAGGGACTTAGGGCAGCCGGGTTCCTGGGCGGAAGGTGAAGGCCTCGGGCAGTAGGGAAGGCCTGCGCCCACCCACGTGCCCGCAGCTGAAGCTGGGGTTTTCTAAAAATGAACCTGCTACTCGTGGCTCATTCTCCCAGCCTGGCCCTCCTCCCCCAGCTAGAGGTGGGAAGGGGTACCTGGCTGAACCTGGCAAGCAGAAGACCCCAAAGAAGTGGTCTCAGCTCGTGTGTACCCCCAGGACAAGAAGGACCCCTTCCAGCCTGTGTGCAGCATCCCCGTCATCACCTCCCTGAAGGAGGAGGAGCGGCTCATCGAGTCCTCCACCAAGGTACTTGACGGCACCTGTCAGGGACGCCGCAGGCAGCGGGCGGGGCGGGTGCCCAGGCCTGGGCCGGCCCTCACTCCGTCTCCCCTTACAGCCCGTGGTCAAGCTGCTGTACAACAGAAGCAACAACAAGTACTCCTACACCAGGTAAGGGGCAGCGGTGCTCTCGGGCTGGGGGTGCTGCACAGGTGGAGACTGGGCAACAGCACGGTCGGGGTGTCTGGAGCACAGGGCCCTGGCTGGGCTGCAGGTGAGCACTATGTAACCGCCCCCCTAACCACACGCCATGTCAGCCTGCCCCATGCACCATGTGCATCGTCTCCGGGTGGAAAAGGGATGCGGGGGCCATGGGGCGGGGAGTCCTCCTCCTAAGCCAGCCTGTCTGTACCCCAGCTCAGCTAACTGCCCTCTGCCGCTCAGTAGCCAGCTGCACCCTGGTGCCCCTGCTTCAGGGACTCCCTGTGGACAGACACGTTGCCAGGGTCACCCCCACTGTGAGGAGGAACTGCTCCTGCCAGAACAGCAGCGCCCCTCCTTCCCCAGGCTGGTGCTCCCCCTCCAGCTCCCTGCTTTACCAGACACCCCGGTGCAGGTCGCCCTCCTCACAGGCCCTCCAGCCCCAGGGGGCGCCACTGAGGGACTTGTTCCCTGCCTGTCCTGTGGCATGGCAGGAGGCCCCCTCCCTGTCTCGGACCAACACCCCGACCTCACGGGTTTTACAGCAACTCTGACGACCACCTGCTGAAAAACATCGAGCTCTTCGACAAGCTCTCCCTGCGCTTCAACGGCCGGGTGCTCTTCATGAAGGACGTCCTCGGCGACGAGATCTGCTGCTGGTCCTTCTACGGCCAGGGCCACAAGCTGGCGGAGGTGTGCTGCACCTCCATTGTGTATGCCACCGAGAAGAAGCAGACCAAGGTACGGAGGTGCGCTCTGCTCGGGCGGTGCAGGGCACAACCAGAGCAGCCCGATGGGGACAATCACTGCAGGGGGTGGGGGAGCATCTGTGTGTTACAGACAGACTGGAATGGCCCCTCTAGGTGGAGCTCACAGCTCTGCCCGGAAGGTGGAGCCTCTGTCTCCCGCTCCGGGAGCTGGACACACACACACACACACACACACACACACAGACACACACACACACCACGTCAGTCAGATGATAAAAAGCAGTCAACTGGGAGCAGCCGCCCTTTGGTAGGGGCTTTTTGTGTTGCTTTTCATCTATTATGTATCTGGCTCTGCTAAGCAATCAGCTTCCGTACTGTGTTGACCACCACGCCGTGAGGTAGCCACTGTCATTGCACACCCCTGAAAACAGACTCAGATGGGTCACTGCAGGGCCCCACGGCTAGTCAATGGTGGCACTGTCTCGTGCCTAGCCCCGACCCCAAGCCCCCAACTCGCTAACTGCTACTGTGCCAACCTCCTGCGCCTGGGTGTTCGGGTCGCGTGTCCTTGTCTCCTCACACCGGTGAGACGGAGAGCGGCCACATGCCTGGTGACCTGTGGTGACACTCACGCGGCTCCCGCCCCTCCCCCCCAGGTGGAGTTCCCAGAGGCCCGCATCTATGAGGAAACACTCAACGTTCTTCTCTTTGAGAGTCCCCGCGTCCCTGACAACTCCTTGTTGGAGGCCACCAGCCGCAGCCGCAGCCACGCTTCCCCCAGCGAAGACGAGGAGACCTTTGAACTGTGGGACCGGGTCCGCCGCATCCACGTGAAGCGCTACAGCACTTACGACGACCGGCAGCTCAGCCACCAGGCTGCCTATCGGGACTGACAAGCCCCCCCACCCCCGGGAGCCAGGGCACAGGAGGGCCCATCTCCCCTCCGCTGGCTGCCCCAGGCTGCTGCTGGCCGGGCCTCGGCTCCAGCAGCCAGAGGCACGGCCAGCCCTGCCTGCGGCTCAGAGGGCCAGGACCAGCCATTCCTGGGCCCTGCTCCCCTGACACTTCAAGGATCATGCTGTCCCCAGCCTGAGGGGGCAGCTCTTCTGCCTGTGGGTGAAGGGACTCACTCACCCATCTCCTGCTACGATGACCACTCAGCTCGGCCTGTGCCGGTCTGAAGGGCTACTCGGGAGGCCTGTGGGCACAGCAGTTCCATCTGCAGGAAAGGCGGCTCCCTCCGAGGGCGGGCTCCTTTTATCCCTCCGGTGTTTGAGCACAAGCCTGGTGTTTGCTTTTTAACATTAGGGAATGAGTAGTCTTAAAGTCTAATAAGGAAGGGTCTGGGTGTCTTGGCCACCTTCCAGGGCGCCCTGTCCCTGGTGAGGGAGGACGATGCCTTTGGGACCTAGCTCTTTAAAAGCACTTCGTACTTTTATTTAGGAGATTGTATCTGCTGACATGTGTCCTGTTTTTTTACCCTGGTCCCCTCTCCCCTGCAGCACCAGTCTACGGGAGGGGCTGGGAAGTAGGCAATAAGCCAGGCCAGTTGGCATCTGCTGGCTGACCAAGGCCCTGTGGAAGGATGGGGCCCGTGGTCCTAATAGCATCCCTGTGAATAGACATTTTTAATCACATTTCATAACTGGTTTGTCAACCACACGACTGCTCAGGTCCCCTTACCCTTGAGCAAGTGCCCTCGCCGTCGTCATAAAGCCTGAGAGCCGCGACAGAGGCCGGGAGCTGCTGTCGGGGAGTGCCAGATGCAGCCGCAGACAGGGAGAGGCCCAGTGCTGGACTTGTGTGTCCCTCGGCCCAGGGCAGCTTGCAGCCAATCAAGCTGGGCCGTCTCCAGACAGACACACCGCTGGCCTGAGACCCCGTTCCTTTCGGGTTGCAGGTGTGGGGCAGCAGCTCTTGGGCAGGAGTAAGTTCAGGGCTGTGGTTGGCATTCCCGTGTTGGGCCTGGCCCTTGGGCAGCTTAATCAGTTTCTCCCCAAGGAATGCTGCAGGGAGCTGTCCAGCCGGTGTAACAAAGCCATCCAGGCACTCTGCAGCGTCCCTCCGCTAAGGAAGGGACCTAGCTTAGCTACCTCGTCACACGGTTTTGTCATAGCTAAGCAGCTGCTCATGTCAGCCCTGCGGAGCCTCGGAGTAATTGCCAGGCCCAGGATTATTGTTCGTCCTCCGTGTGGGGCAATGTGACTTTGTAACCAGCGCAATTGGCCACGAACCCTCACTGGGGTAATTCTCTGGCTTTCCCAGAGACGGGAATGTTTCAGCCTGAGCCTCTGCCCCGTCTCCTTCCCTGACCTCAGCTCCCCGCAGAGGGCTCCTGAGGCTCCGCCTGGCTTCCCGCCAGCCAGCGCTGACTGCTGGGGCGCTTTCTCACATGGATGCCATCTCCGCTCTTAGGAAAAACACTAACTTGTGAGTTCACCTAAGTGATATTAGCCTCTGCTCAGGCCTTGGGACTTCAGGGTTTGAGGAACTCCCCTGTGAGGTGTCCCCGCCCCGTCCATAGCCATGTGCACACAACCAGGGAGTAAACGGCAAATGTGGACGAAGGTCAAACCTTGTCAGTTGCCGAGAAAACTGGACGCCTGCTGTCAACAGCACTTGCATCTGTGGCAACCAACGCTTGCCAAAGGATGGGGCCAAGACTGTCATGCAGTGGACCAACACAGGTCCTGGAAAGTGCTCTAATAAAGTGTCACTGCGGTGGCGTGAAGCTGTCACAGGATGTACTGTCATGTCAGTCATCACAGGCCAGTTCTGGCTCCCACACTCAGCTGCCCTGGAGCCCCGGCTCCCCCTGGTGGGGGATTAAGGACACTACTAATGAGTCTGACCTGTGACTAATGAGGCAGGACTCCCAACTCAATTCTACACAGCCCTGCCCTCCTGGGGAGTGCACAGAATCAGCTCAGAAGGCAGTGCGGCAGGGGCACCACTCCATCCACAGGCTTGCCCAGCCAGCCGGGCCCAGCCTCGGGTCTCCATGCCCAGCACACTCGGCTCCTGGAACCTGGTTGGGCAAGCCAGGGGTGCTGATGGCTGCGTGGTGCCAACAGGCCACGGACACAGAGAGGAGGAGTCCAGGCCAGCGTCCACCCCAGTGGGACCCAAAGGGACCACGACCCTGGTGGTTGTCCAGCTCCCTGGAAGGTGAAGGTCCGAAGGGAGCCTGAGACCTGGGGAACAAATGGCTGGGGGGACCAGGTATGCACTGGTTTATTGATTGAACCTCACATTCCAACGTGACAGGCCGGAAGCTCCCCCAGGTCTGCAGCAGTCAAACCCAGGGTTCCTGGAACAGTAGGCTGGGCCTACAGGGAGGCCGGCCCTGGAGGAGTCCGGTGGGGGGCTTCTGGAGAAAAAAAGCTTCCCACAAAAAACTCACAATCAAATGACGCCAACAATTCTGGGCAGCGCGGTGGCCCGTGCTGGGGAGAAGTGAGTTCCGCAGCCGTTGTGCAGGGCGAGCTCTTGTCCGAGGGGCTGAGCCTGGGCACCGGGGCCTCAGTGGGCCTACCAGTGAAGGCCTGAGGGCGGTGTCTTCTCATCTTTATTGCTTTCCAGGGAGAAGGGAGGGATCCGGACATCAAAGTGGGAGCCATCAGGTCTCTCAAAGCGGAAGGTGCCCCTGTAGGTCAGAGAGGAGCTAGCTGACTGAGGCTCTCCTGTGGAACTGACTGCCTGGGCCCTCAGCTCACCGCAGGCCGGGTGAGGCAGCAGACTCAGGACAACATGGGTCCCTTAACTGCCCCTCCCGGCGCTACGGAGGAAGGAGGAAAGACGCAGTGCCCTGGGCTGGCCGAGGGCTCGAGGCTGCACCTCTGAGGGGAACCCAAAGCAGCTTGCTTTGGCATAAGTCCTTGGCCTGTAAATCACAGAAAACTAGAAACTAGGCAGTCATAAAAGAAACAACCAAGCGCCCCACACAAAAGTGACCAGCTGAGGAGACCCCACCTCCAGACCTAACTGGGCCCAGAGTTCGCCCCACGCCACCACCTCTCACTTCCCTGGCCTGCAGCCACTCACCACATGTGCCCACTGGAAGCTTGCAGGGAGACGTGGCTGCTGTACTGGAACGCAGGCTGCTCCTTAGACAACACAGGCTCCTGCCAGGGTCCAGGGACAATGGGTCGGGTCAGGTCCCAGCCTCCCCTTCCCTGCACTCCAGGGCCATATGCGGCTAGTTCAGTCCCGTCTGGCACTCCCAGGGACGGCCTCAGCCCCTCCTCCCTGCCTCCTAGCATGAACTACGGGCCTTTGATTCTGGGCAAGGTCATCAAAGGCTGAACTGAGGCACCGGGCAAAGGTGCGACAGGGCTCCCTCCTGCGGCAAGGCCTGAAGGCGGCCGGCCTGAGATGCCTGCAAAGAGCAGCCCAGAGGAAGCAGCAGTCTGACTTCAAAGCAAACTGGGTAGGAGTTAGGAGCCCTGCTTCTTAAACCTCAACCTGCCACCAGGGAAAGGGACCAGAGCTGAGGCCACGGGCCAGGCCTGGTGGTCTACATACTGTGCTGGTTTAATTCCAGCAGTGATAGGCAATATGTCTGGCATAGGCATGGGTATCTTAGCACTAAGAAATAAAGTCTGATGAAATACCTCGCCCCAATTAGGCAGCAAGTAAATACCAGGCCAGGCTTGCACCCCAACTAACTCCGAGCCCCTGCTCGGCAGCCTTGGGCTGGCGACCACAGCCCAGCAATGCTCACCCTGCCCACCACCCCTCGACCTCGCACGGTCTCCAAGGTGCCGGACAGGCTGAATATCCTCCAGTGCCGCTCCCGGAGCTGGACCACGTCACTGTCGAGGTTCTCCAAGCGGATGCAGTAGCGCCACTGCGGAGGATGGGGGGAGCCCAGAAGGTAAGCGTCCCTACCTCCCAACCTGACCCGCACTCGCACCTCCTGAGCTCTCCCTCCGCCCCGAGGGAGACACTCACCCAGTAGACATGGGAATTCTGGGCTTCCTAGGCGAGAAAAAAAAACAAGGAAGACTAAGTCCCAGGGAGCAGGAGCCTGTGTGCCCTGTCAGCATCTCTCCCCTGGGCCCACCCGGCTCCCTGCTCAGCTGGTTAGGTTGGCCAGCACAGCTGGACTCCCGACATCTCTAGCACTCATGGCCCTGCTGCCAGCCTCCACCACCACCCCACTCTATGTGTGGCACGTTGGTCCCCCACTACCATGTGCTCCAGAGAAGCAGTAACGGTGTTTCTGGGTGTACCCCCCAGGGCCTAGTTTACAGCCAGGCAGGAAACAGCTCCACACACATCTGACGAACGTTTGTGAAAGGGGAAGAGAGGCCTGCACATGCATGCATGTGCTATGTATGCTCCTCTGGAGCCCTGGCAGGGAGCAGTGATAGGTTCCCCCAACGGGTCTTGGTGTCAGTCCAGGCCCATGCGGCTCAGCCCTCACCCGACACAAGCACCGCTTAGGAGCAGAGCCAGGAGCTGTGGTTGACAGCTGGGACCCAGCCCACAATCACAGCGGGAGCTGGCTCCAAAGGAAGGGGCCAGGCTGCCCACGTACCCTCATGCCCATGTAGAAGGGGATGACGGTGACCCGAATGTTCTCGGTGGTTTCCCGGTGGACATCGGAGAGCTCCAGCCAGGGGTGGTTCTTCTCCTGCCAGGCCCGTAACGTCTCCCGAGCCACAAAGGGAGGTGCTAGGGAAAGACCTGGATGGTCGAGCAGGGCACCCAGGCTCTTCATGCTCCCACTGCCTCCCCAACCCCGTCCCCTCCTCAGACGACACCTACGCGTGAAGCAAAAGCACAGGCCGGATGGTGGCACAGAGCTGCCTGCTGAGAATAAGCCTGAGGAGGTGGCGTGATTTCGTAGGAGGGAAACTGAGCTAGGAGCCCCGATGTTCAGGCCTCATTCTACTAACTAGCAAGCTTGGTTGGGTTTGCTAGTTAGTTTCCCAGGCCAAAGGAGGAGGAGACAGGTCTACCTGACAGGTCAAATGCAAGGAAGGCCTGGATATGGTTGTGGAAATAGAGCTTTGGAATTATCCCCATGAAACTCTTTTGAAGAAAGAGGTTACCTTTTGTCTGGTCGTACAGAAGAAACCTTTCAAAGAGCTCATGTTGGATAGGAACCTGATCAGTGGAGGTGTAGGGCAGGATGTCTTCATGGCTGACATAGTCTAGGCCTGGCACAGAAAGGCACAGAGACCAGTGAAACTCACACGGCAGAGCAGAGTGGTATGTTAGAGAAGAAACCACCAAGACCTGTCCCACGCTAAGACGATCCTGGCAGGCTTTCCTCTCAGTGCCTGATCCCCAACACACACACCCACCCCCAAGCAGGTGAGAGGGTGTCAGAGATGCATCCGCGCCCTCTTCCTAAGACCTGCTGGCCCCTCAGCAACAGACACCCCCCAGGTGTTCACCACTCACCTGGGATGGCATAGAGGGCCCGGCTGTCATCATGGTTAGCCAGGAAGGTCACCGCTTCTGTCTGAGATCTCTGGGACTAAGGGAAGAATATGGAGCCGGGGCTTGATTGGTCACTGTCCAGCCCCAAGGGCTGACCCAGCCTCTGACCCCTTCCCCCCACCTTCGTCCCCACCAGGGTTCAGGTCTGGCCCCTGGGAAAGAGCACCAGGCCCGGCCCTCTTGGTCACGTACTATGTGTGGGCAGTCGCGGGCGTCAATCAGCACCTGATAGTAAGTGTGGGTCTTGCCTTTGACCTCCTTGGAGCCGTGGCCGGCAGGGTTCTCTGCTCTGTGGAGGTGGAAAGAAGTTGGAGACGGGAAAGCCACCCCCCACCGCTTTACTGCCCGAGCAGGGTGACACCTGAGCAGAAGGTGATGACGCCCCACCTGGGGCCTGCTCAGTGACCCCCGGCCCAGCTGCTCCCCAGCCAGTGGCGTCTGGAGGACCCACAGCAGTGCCACGACCTGTGGTCCTTGTAGAAGAGCACGCCAGGGTGAGGACATCCCATTGCTGCCTCAGCACCCTGTGCCCAGAGGGCCCCCGCCCTGCTGCCACCCACCCAGAGACTCCCCATCCCTGACCGGAGCAAGGTCATTTTGTTTCGAAGGGTCTCGTGATGATCTGGGTGTAAGGAAGAGATGCGAACAGACATGACGAAGACTGGCCCTCTGATGCCCTCTGAGGGGGTGAAACAGAACGTTGAGCGTAGCTTGCAAGAGCATCCCACCAAAGCCGAAGGACCCTCTGCTGAAGGCGGATCCCGGCACTCGGCACCGCATCTCGATGGGTACTGCAGGCCCAGAAAAGGGCCCCCGGGGGAGGCTGTGTGCACCCCTGGGGCCCCAATCACGTATGCCTGCCGTCAGGCTTCCTCCTGAGGATGGGAGGTGGGGCAGGGTGGGGTGGTAGGGGGGTGACAGAGAAGAGGCCCCGACATACTTTTCTGGTGCTGCAGAAGCCACATCCCGGTCATACAGTCGGGCCTGCCAGGGAAACAGGACAACGCCTCGGTAGCCAAAAACACTATGAAGGAAGAGCTGGGAGGAAAGGGCGCCTTGGTGAATGTGTTGTCTGTCAAATCCTCCCTCCCAGGGGCTGGACTGCAGGCAGCTCAGGCAGAGGCCGCTCCCCTGTAAGTGCTGAGATTCGTCCAGACCCATTGCCCTCCAGGGCTTGCTCTTTGCCTGGCAGCCTCTTACCCCCACCCCACCTGGTCGACTTCGCCTTGTCGTTTAGGGCACAGTTTGGGCATCACTTCCTCTAGGAACCCTTCCCTGATTTGACTCCTGTCGACTGAGCACAGTGGGAGCCAATGGCCGTTTGTATGTCCTTATCCTTTCTAGACTGCAAACTCCAGGAAGGCAGCAAAGTATCTACCGTGCTTTCTATTCCGACCCCAAGGACTCATGCTTGGCTGATTATAGGCATACCCACTAAAAGGTTTCAACTAACCTATCTTCCTTATCAACAAAGGGCCGGAATCTACCTCCACCAACCAGCACCAAGCTGACCCAGACGTCACCACGCCATGGCCAGCCCATCCGCTTTTTTGAAAGCTCCCTCCACGAGCTTCCCGCCATCCACTCTGAGAAGGCTCAACATCGGCCAGGTTCCTTCCACACTCCAGTCCAAACCACCCCTGGGCTCCCCCACTGGGAAAGGGAGTTCAGGACAGGCACCACCAGCTTGAAAAGGCCGTGATTCTGGTCTGTGACCACACCCCCAGGTGGACAACCACAGCAGTCCGACCTGCGACCACCTCCATCTCCCTCCCAGGGCCCAGGTGCTTCAAGTAAAGGGAAGGACCCCCAGCCACGTGCTCACCTGCCCAGTCTCGTACTTCCCATTCTGCTTGGGCACCTCAAACACACCGACTGTCTCCAAAACTTTGCCTTCTGCTCGGTTTCTGGTCAGGAAGGAAAAGCACAAGAAATGGGAAGGCTGAGAAGGTCACGACACTGGCCGATCAGAACAGGCTACAAGGGTCCTGTCTGACTGAAGTAACGGGAGAAGGGTCCTGCCAAACCAGACCAGGGGACTCGGCCTTTGCTCCTTCAAGGTCCAGCCAGAGACCGCTCCAGGATGAGACCTCCCAAGCTGTGCTGGAAGGGCTCCCAGGTCAATTCTCCCCTCACACCTCACCTGTCCCTCCCCCTCCATTCCCACTGGACTCTACATTCCCAGGGGCAGTGCCTGTGTCTGATTAGCCTGGGCTCTCCTCAGAGCCTAGGGTGTAAGAGGTGCCCAACAGATAGGTGCTGTGTCATAATTCCAGGTCCTTCCCTGCTTTAATCAAAGTCCTCCCCTTACGCTTGAAGGCTGAAAGCATCTCTATAGATTTCCTGCTGCGTGCCTTAATGGCCTCTGAAAGCAGGTTTTTCTTCCAATTTGGATCGATGTTCACAGGGGGGTCTTAAGTGGCCAAGCATCATCACCACGCCCACCCTTGTTTTTAACCTCAGCCACTCCAAGATCGGGGGTCAGTCACCTCTCTGGACAGAGCTGCTCTGTCACAGGCTCTTGAACTCACTCTAATTCTTCCTATCCGGGGAAAGGGGCCTTTAAGCTACCACCCTCACGGCTCCAATCCCTTCCCCCGGGTCACACTGCCAGATCCCGTCTCCGGAGTCCCACGGAAAGCCAGAAGCCGTGCGGGGGCCCAGGTGCCAGTGGTGGCCGGGGGTTCGGATGAAAAGGCCCAGGGCTGCACTAAAAGGCTGGTCACAGCCGGGAGGGCGCCTTCTCTGAGCGTGACGTGCTCCGGGCTCCTGCACAGCCCGGAGCCCCGAGCCACGCTCCCTTCGCTCCGGGCTCAAGCCCCAGGCGGCGCGGGTCAGCGTCCTGCTCCCGGCCTTGGCCAGGGTCGAGCGCAATCACCCTTAGCCAGCCTGGGCCAGGCCCGGTCTCCTGGCCTCCCCGCGGGCCCGGAACACCGCTCCCTGGGCTGCGGGCCAGGTCCCTGCGCCCATTCGCTCCGTCCCTCACCGGGACGAGAGGTGCCTCTGTGTCGTCGTGGCTGCCGCTGGCGAAAAGGCCCCAGCTCCACTCGCCGCACACAGCGGCCTCGGACCCCGGACCCCGCTCAGCGACCGGGACCACCAGCGGCTGCCCACCGTCAGGGCGCGCCGGGCTGCACAGCCCGCCATGTCCCGCCGGAGGGCCCGCTCGGCTCGCCGACTCAGGGCCCGACCTGCGGCCCGGCGGCGTTCCGCCCCCGCCCCACACTGCCCCGCGCCGCGCCGCGCGCGCCCCGCCCCCTGGGCCCTCTGCCCCGCCCCGCCCCGCGAGCTCAGTGGTTCGGCCGGCGGAAGTCCGGTCTTGCGGCTAGTCACGTGACCACAGCGTCGCGCAAACATGGCGTCTTCCTTCGTGGCCGGCGAGCGCTTGGTTCGCGCTTTAGGCCCTGGCGGGGAACTAGAGCCTGAGAAACTGCCCCGAAAGCTACGGGCCGAACTGGAGGCCGCAGTGGGGAAGAAACACAAGGGCGGCGATAGCCCGCGTGGCCCCCAGCGCCTGGTTTCCTTCCGTCTGATCCGAGATCTGCACCAGCACCTGAGGGAGAGGGGTGAGCCCCAGCCTCGAGTCCGGGGATCACCTCGTTCGTGAGACCTCCTGCCGCTTGAGAGCGTCCCCCCAAACAGTCATCTCACCGACAGTCCCCTGAGAATCCTAGGACCACTCACTCCCTTCACAGCTTCCCTGAGGATTCTTGGGGGGGGGGGGTAACAATGTATTTGTGTAACGTTTGTCCAATGGGTAGACTTTCAGGCAGACTGTAGGGCCTCCTGACGCTTGACAAAATCCAAGTTCGAACTCAGTATCACCTCGGCTTCAGTTTCTTTGAGGCCATGTTAGGAACCGTTATAGCATCGTGAACTTTATCTTGCTTAAGAATCGGGATTTCTTTTCATCTCAAACGCAAGAGTAGTCAAGCTTCCTCATTCTCTGATGTTTTTACCCTCTAAGATAGGATGGGGAAAGCTATACTGAAAGATGGGGACGGGCTAGCATTTGACTTCTAGCCCTAGCTTTGCCACTAGCTTCCTTTGGAAAAATCATTTGTCCTTGGGCCTCTGTTTCCATATTTTCAAAGGGAAAAATCGAACAAACAGATTTCTAAGGTCTTTTGCCAGAAATACCATAGCCTAGCTGGAAACACAAAGGTAGACTTTTCAACCATAGATACTGAAAATGGTCGGAGAAATCGATAAACTAGTCCCATGGTCCTGCGCATCTGGCATCTGGCATCACCGTGAACTGAACTACGAAGAGATCGGCATGCCCCCAGAAATGACCTAATCCAATGCAAACGTAAATGGCTTACAAGTCAGTTGGGACATTGGCAGCCCCAGGAGAGGTTTATGAGAGATTGTCCTAGGTTATCTTGGCGTGAAAATGATCCTGGAAAAGGATTCCTATAGTAATGGCCATGTTTTATTTAAAAGGAAAGAAGATTAGAGCTCTGATCTAAATCCCCCACCGTCAGCGCTGAGGGTCACCATGTTGTGGAAACCTTTTATTCCTAGGCTCCACGCTCTATCTCCATGAGCTCCTGGAAGGCAGTGAAATCTATCTCCCAGAGGTGGTGAAGCCTCCTCGGGTATGTAAGAGATATATATGTGTGAGATCGGGCATTGGCTGGGTTGAGCAGATTCAGGATATTTGAATTGACAATCAACTATTGAATTCAAAAGTTTGCATTTTAAGTTCCGGGGAACCAGGTTGGGGAAAACAGGCATCACCCTCGCCTGACAGCTGAGAGAGCAGATAGAGTTTATCCATGGGTCTCTAGTACCCTTAGCCCTTTGCTCCCAGGAACCAATGTTGATGACATACTTTCTAGAAATAGAGCTCTTCCTCCTTGGCTTTTCTGCCCCAGAACCCAGAGTTAGTCGCCCGGTTGGAGAAGATTAAGATACAGCTGGCCAACGAGGAATATAAGCGGATCACCCGTAATGTCACCTGCCAGGTAAGGGCAGCCCCACACTGGAAAGAGGTTCAGAGGAAAAAGAAAAAAACAAAAACTTAGAAATGTAATGTGTCTATTATCCAGAGATCATAGGTTCTCTAGTCTGCATATATGACAAATATATTCCCAACTCATTCACTGGACCTCCAGGCTCAAATAATGGCTGGTCACTAGTAGTTGGAGAGGTGGGGGAAGAGCCTTGGAGGCTTTTTTTGACAGCTCCATCCTGTTCTCTGGCATGCTCCTGCCCTGGAGCAGGAAAGGGGTAGGTGGTTATTGGGATCCTGTGCCCTTTCCCTGAACTGCCTGCCCTGGAGCCCAGAGAAGAGCCCAATTGACAAAAAGACTCCATGGAAAAGGCAGAGGGGGAATGTAGGGGATAGAGAGGGCTGAGCCAAACTGACAAATGGGTACTTTGGGGATTGCCTCTGAACTTTCATTCTGAAATCATTTACTTTTTCTATCTCCCAGGATTCCAGGCATGGTGGGACTCTCGGTGAACTGGGGAAACAAGGTAAAGTTCCAGGAAACCAAGCACGAACGCCTCTGCCCGGCACGGATTAGGGCACTCCTGGCCCCACCCAGGACTCTGGGTTTCACCTTGAGCTGTTTGTCTTAGGCTGAGTTTCTGAGGGGAACAAGACCAGTGAAATGTATGTATGGATTTATAGAGAGGGATTTGTTTCAAGAGAATGGTTCACGTTGTTGGGGAGGCTGGCCATTCTGAAGTCTGAGGTTCACTGGCAGGATGGAGGTTTCTCCTAATTCATCCAGTTGCAGGGGCTGATGAGCCCGGTATCTTCAGGGCAGGCTGTTGGCTGGCGTCCCAAGGACCAACGGTCAGAAATTGGTGAGGCAAATGTAGGTGAGAGAGAGTGCTTTGCCAGAAAACACCCCTGTGTATTAGACACAGGCCACCCACCCAGGGACACTCCCTCTTTACCTGATTGGGCCTTCACGTCAGGTCAGAGTACAAGAGGATTACATATCTGGCAAACCACGGAGAACCGTAGCCCAGTTGACACATAACTGTAACCACCATACCAATCAAGCTTTTTCTTGGAGGGGAACTCCCATAGGGGGGCGGCAGCTATGAGATCGGAGGGGCTCCTGGTGGGCGGTGAGCTAAAGGTTTCTTCTCTGCTCTCCTCAAAGTGAGGTCGGTGAAGGCTCTGGTCATCACCATCTTCAACTTCATTGTCACGGTGGCAGCTGCCTTTGTCTGCGCTTACCTCGGAAGCCAGTATATATTCACAGAAATGGCTTCGGTGAGTACTCTTTGGTCAAGGCAGGTGCCCAGAGGGGCTCTTATGGGAAAGGGAGGGTGTATACCTTACATAGGTCAGTAATTGAATGGAATTTTCTGCAATCAACAAGGGAAGCATTGAGCTCTCTAGCAGCCATGGGAGGTGGAGGGGTAGGTGGTAATCCCCAAAGAAGCCCCATCCTCCCTTCCTCCCTCCAAATGGCTGGGCTAGGTCAGTGTGTCCACCATCCTTGATAAAGGTGCTGGGGTGCAGAGGGGCGTGCCAGCCCACACCCACTAAGCCTGGTCGTCCTTCCCGCAGCGGGTGCTGGCTGCACTGATCGTGGCCTCTGTGGTGGGGCTGGCCGAGCTATATGTCATGGTGCGAGCAATGGAAGGCGAGTTGGGAGAGCTCTAACCGATGCTTCATGGACACATTCTGGAAAAGGTTTGGCAGGCTTCGTTCAGACTCACAACTGCCGACTGACTCTCTGTCAGCCCTGCCAGCTCTTTGTTCTAAGCTCAGTATGTCCAAGGGCCAGGCCACCTGCTGTTCCTGTGGAGAGCCCATCCCCATGAGTTCCAGAGGGGACTCAGGCAGCGGATCTTCAGTCACAAAGAACTGGCCTGTCAGTACCGTGCCCTGAATCTGGTGCTCCACTTTCTTGTCCAGTCCTCTCTGAGCACCATTGTGACTTTTTGTTTTCTGCGGGGAGTGAATGGATTCCAGGCCTTCCTAGAAGTAGACCAGACGGCCATGAACTTGCCCAAACGTACAAACCAGTTGTCATCCTTTGTGCACATGTCCCCAATGCAGACGTGGCATTGTAGTCAGAAGAGTTCCCCAAAGCGGGATCTCCCCTCTCTGGTTTGTGCTGAAGGAGGGTCTGGCCAGAGGGTACTGAACTAGAGAAAGGAGTTGGTGCAGGATGGTGAAATTAGAAGGACGGCAGCTACCTTTTTAAAATTGTAGTTTTCACCTTCATCCTCCTCTTCCTTCAGCCTGCCCTCACCACCACCCCCTTTTGTGACATGTTTCTGTCACTTCCCAACCCTAGTCTGTGCTCACCCATGCTCCATCCCATCACCCTTTGCTCTACCTCCAAAGCGCCAAACAGTCCAGTTGACAAACAGTACGTCTGCTTTACACGGCAAGATTCTGTGTGTGCGTGTGGCGGGAGGATTCTACCTACTGGGGGCTTGTTTCAATAGAGCTGTATTTTATAAGCGGGGACCATTTTCAGATACAACTCTAGATACAAATGTGTAGTATGTGTAATTAGACATAAGCCTAATGCAGGGTATCGTATGGGCGTTTTTAAAACAAAATGTGGGTGCATGCAGAAGACACCATGTGAATGGTCACAGTTGGTGTCATTGCCGTACATGGTTACCTTCGGTCTTCCCAGTCCACAAGGTTGGAAATGGAGGCAGTGTAGGTCCTTTTTCTAAAAGACAGCATGGGCCGAGGGACACAAGTGACCGCTGCCTGGGCCTTCATACGACACACGGAGGCACGAACTCCTAGAATGTCCTGGAGTCCCTGTCACGTGACTCTCCTCAGAACAGGCAGTGTTGTGATGACAGAACCCGCATAGGGCACTTAGAAGATCATCCACTGGAGTTATTTGTTCAATAAATGTTGATTGCATACAGTGCAGTGTGTTCTTATTTCCAGCCCCAAGACAGCACGGGTTTCGAGGGCGCCCAGGACCTGGCAGTCTTCCTCCTGGTTGGTGTGAGCTGCCATGGGGTCCCTTCTGACGCCTGGCGACCCGAGGGCAGCAAAGGAAATGTCGCCCAGTCCTGCACCAGCCTCATAATTGTTGGTAGACAGGTGGCCACTTTGTGATCTGAGGTTGAGTCCCCTTAATCTAGGGGACTCATCTTCCAGCACCTGTGTAGGGCACTGTTCCGTTGTGATCAGTAGGGTAATTTTTGGAAGTAGACCACCAGATTTTTCTTCCTACTCTCCCTCAGTCCGGAAGCTGCACAGTGACATAATTTCCAGCATGATAGCAACACACAAACCACCACAGGATGAGGAATCTGACAGGTGTGGTGGCTCTGCATGGTAGACCCTTGTCTGTCAGTGCCGGCTCGATGCATAAGTTCTTGTGGTCCTCCACCCCCACCCAGACAGAGCACTTCTCTTACAAAGTTAGACTCTCGCTGGCTCACTGGGCATTTCCTCTGCACGGCTTGTCGTTTCCTCTTGACCTGAAACAAGTTGGAAGCTCAGTGTCACTCTGCGCGTAAGAAGCAGGCAAGGTCTCGGCCCTTCTATGCCAGCATCCATCACCGAGTTGAAAACCCTTAGGGTTCCCATAGTTGGTTTGGAGCAGTGTCGGCTGGGAGAGCGTTCCGTCACCGGAACTGATGGAAGAGTTAGCCTTGTGGAGCCAAGTGCCAGTGCTGGCGCTATTCTGAGCCCTCCCAGGGGCCTAGGGTCACTTGGAATGTGGAATCCAGCCCTACAGTCGAAGGGGCCCAAGGAGTAACAAGACAGGACAGAAACGGGTGCGCAGGGGACTCAAGTCCATTCTCGGAGAAGAGCCCAGAGTTTAAGCAGCATGGGTTTTGTCACCCGTGAGGCATGGAAGCCTCTAATTATCTACTTCAAACAAATGGACATGTGCTAATCTTGGTTTTCAGAGGGAATACTTCAAAGGGAGCACAAAAGACAAGAGGAGCAAACTTTGCCTTGCAGATCTGGCTAGACCAGACGATGCACAGCGGTACAGATGGGAATTGGAAACGCAGGGAATCTAGGACAGATGAACCACTCAGGACCAGGGGTGACAGTGGCGATACCAGGAGGGAAGGGGGGTGTAGAAAGGGGGAATTGATCACAGAGA